GAACATCAGTCTCTTAGACCATGTGAAGAATTTTTTCGGGCACAGCATAAGAATTCATATCAACTGCTTTCTCTTTAGATCGCTTAATAAGGGAGTGTATGACGTTTGTTGATGTAAGTACTAGCCGCCAACTGATCAACTTTATTGGCTTTTGAAAATTTGAGCTACGTAAGGAGCAGTGGCGTACCGAGGGGGAAGGGGGGCGCCCCCCCCCCCCGAAAAATGGGTCGCGAAATTTTTGAAAGTTACTTAAATGTGTTATAAAAATGTGCAAAGGACTTTTTTTTACTTGTAAATAATTAAAATAATTTTTAAAAATTTTTAAAAATTCAAATTAGCCTTGTAAAAAAATTTTTTCGGGGCGTGGCTGCCGCCGCGCCCCTTTTTTCTGAAATTTTGAGGTCAGGGGCCCGGAAGAATTTTGGGAAACATCTTTTAAAAATTTTCGGAGTGCGTGGCTGACGCCACGCACCTTCATTAGAAAAATTTTTTGTCGCGCCCCCCCCCCCTCCGTGCCGAAATCCTGGGTACGCCACTGATAAGGAGGGTGCTGATATGAATTTAAATCTATTTCATCGATTTCGTCTATTCTTGCACAACTTTGAGATACGAGTCTGGGAGTTGATAGAGTTAGGTAAGGGGCGCTGATTATGAATAGCAGTAGATTTTATCGATTTTACCAATTTTGGAAAATCGTGGGCAACGGAGCTGGGGGTTGGTGCAGGGGGTGTGAGGGTGCTGATTATGAACGAATCGTCTTTAGCCGGGTATGTCGCAAGTTTTAGGTACGGTTGCTCGATCGGTGAATCATTCGAATATCTGTTCGAAATTCGACTCCCAAAGTTCGAAAATAATCGATATGCATTCATTTGATATTTTCTTCCGATTTTATTCCAGATTCATTTATTTGAAAAATTTTGAATTCGGAATTTATTGATATTCGATTATTCGATAGTTTTCATTTTCGAATTTATTCGTTACTAGCGACCATAAGGGCCGCTAGCGAGTGGGTCGGGGCAGATACAGTATAAGGGCTTAGTTGTGATTGCATTTATTTCTAAATAAGTTTTCTATTCCTTTCCTGAGAACGTTTTTGCGAAAAGCATTCTATAAAAGGATAACTGCTCGAAGAAGCAACCACAAATCATTCAGTATTTATCGAAATATCTGCTGTAACCATGCATGGAGGATATTATTTTTCTCTCGTTTACCATGCTCTTTCTGCAAATTTCCCCTCCTCACAGAGACATTCGAATAAAAAACCCCCTACTTTTCTACGCTCTCAAAGAGAATTTGCTCTTCCAGTTGTTCTCAACATGTTCCATAAAAGATCGTTAAGTAAGTAGCAGTAACAATCATATGTACTACAAAAAATACTTTTCTCTCAGAATCAATTCCGATATCAACGAAATCAATCGTCTAAGAACTTCGTCAGAGAATCCTTCAATTTTTTCGCCAAAGGAATATGAAGCTTCACTATAAAAGGGGACAGGGCCCGGCACCGATGGTTTGGGATCAAACTGGACTTCGTTTTTGGAGTTAGAAGCAACGGGGACATCGTTTTTATGAGGTCCTGGAGGAAGCGCCAAATAAACACGACGAACATGTCAGGTTTCACGAGTTGAACGTGTTCTTTCGCAAGCGCGCGAATTTCAAATAAAAGACTCAAACAAACAAATGGCTTGTTTGCAGCGCATAAAAATCACATGGCTCCGAATTTGGGCTATGAGTATACAATATTACTCCGGACTATGTTATGTAAAAAGTTCCCAAAACTTATGTGTCCTAATATCCGTTCTCGAATTTGTTGGTTTCTAGACCAACTACCAAACCAACTGGGTTGGTTCGGAGCATAAATATCGGAGATTTCACATATTTTCGAATTTTTTGATTTGGACGATTAGAACGGTCAAAAATCTATGATATAGTGAAGAGAGCGGATCAAACCGTTGCCTCTCCCCTTTTTTTGAGTCAAAAGTAGTATAATTCTACGCGTAGATAGATATCGCGCTCCAATCACTTGCGGTCCTTTGAAATATGTGGCGAAAAATGCATCGCAGGATTGTTGATGCTACAGATTTGGTTGGCCTAGGAGATTCTCGACATTTCCAGCATCAAAATGGTACTATCCCCATTTGCAGAGCCTTTAATCGACTCGAAATGTTTTCTTTGTGCTTTTTTGTTATATTACATACTTCAAAATGCGCTTTTTTCGCTTTTTTGCTGCTATTTTGGTTGAATAAGGGTTTCCCTACTGATTTTCACGTCGAGAGGGACTTCGTAAATTTTCGCGAAGTCATGGGGGACTTCGTTTCCTAAAAACCTCCAAACCAACGTGTGCCGGCCTGTAAAGGAGATCCCTCCCCAAAAAGCACGACTACTGAGCCACCTAAAGATCGCCAATCATAAGAACTGCACAAACGTGCAAAAAATTTGTTTCCTTGTCCGATCAAGTTGCCCTATGTGCCGCTTAAACCAATATTTTCTATCTGAAAGACAGTTCATACCCTACGTGCCGCTTGAAGACCGTTCAATAATTATAAGAACTGCCCCAAACGTACAAAAATCTGTTTCCCTGCCCGATGATATTGCCCTACGTGCCGCTTACAGACCGATGCCTAGTTGAAAGCACCAGCCTGACCCAGTTACATAAGTAAAAGCAAGGCTGTTGTTAGATAAACGCTTCCAAAAGTACCAGGAAGACCAAGTTACTCACGCCCTCTCTTGTCTACACGCGGAAGCAAGATAATCAGAGGTGCGATAGGTGGAGGCCCCCAAAAGTAAAGGTGGTTCCAGCTACCACTGGCCGGCCAAAAGTGAAGGTGGTAGTGCCGGACACTCACCTGCCAAAAACGATGACCGGAGGGGGGGGGAAGCACAGCTCGACTTCTTTTTTCGCAAAAAATTCCATTAACTTCTGTATAATCGTATTTTATTAAGTAAATTTTGTTATAACGTACTGCGAACAAAGTAGGTCGATCCAGGGAATAAGCGCCGAGAACCAGAATTTTGAATAGTAAAGTAACGGAAAATCATGCGAAATTTCCACTATGTTAAATCTGGTGTTTGAAGATATCAGCAACTGCGACTTCACAGGTTTTAAAGAGTAAATTGTGCTCTATAAGATAATGAAAAAAACGAGTGATTTATGAGATAGCCGCCGAAAACCAGAATTCTAGAAAATTACGTCATTTTAGCGTGTTTAATGACAGCTGACGTTTGAACTCCTATAAATCTGGAATTTAAAGATGTGCAATCTTTATAAGATTGTAGAGTACGGTTTGCCTTATCAGATTATATGTTAGCCGTGCCGATCCATTGAGATACCGCCGAGAATCAAGCTCTTAAAAAACACGTAAAAAACCGCTTTTTGAACTTTAACAGCTCAATACTTCTTCAGAGCATGTTGCGACTGCATAGGTTGGATTCTCTTCTTAAAGAGCTTTCAGATGATATATTATATGTGGGGGTTCGATGATTTCTGCGGCTCTAACCCGGGGTGGAGACTTTTCATACCAAAGTTTCCACCTCGCCCATATATTAATGTGTTGGCTGGAGGCTGCCAGTGGAGACTTTGTGATGAAAAGTCGCACCCTCGAGCATATGCCGTGAGAGGCGCAAAACCCCCACATACCCCTACAGTATATCATCTGAAAGCTCTTGAAGAGGAGAATCTAACCTATGCAGTCGCAACATGCAGATCTGAAGAAGTTATGAGCTGTTGAAATTCGTTTTTTACCTGTTTCTTAAGAGCCTGAATCTCGGCGGTATCTCAATGGATCGGTGTGGCTAACATATATTCTGATAAGGCAAACCTTACTCTATAAAATTTGTAAAGTCTCAACATCACATGCTTTCACATTTAAGATTTATATGAGTTTAATCGTCAGCTGTCACTAAGTAACCTAAAACCGCTTAATTTTTTAAAATTCTCGTTCTCGGCGGCCATTGCTCAAATCGACCTAACTCTTTCACTGTCTGGTAGAACAACACCTGGCCTTCAAAAAGCATGAAGTCGCATTTGCTGACATCTTCAACCACCAGATTTATAACGGTGGAAATTTCGCATGATTTTACGGTATTTTAACATTCGAAATTCTGGTTCTCGGCATTTACTGCCTAGAGCGACCTACTACATAGATATATGCTCTCAATACTTTCTTTTGCGTTCTTTGTGCTTATTTTCCTTCTTTTAATCGGCAAAAAAAATTTTCAAACCGAAAAGTGAAGGTGGTCACCCTGTACCAGCTCAAAAGTGAAGGTAGGCGGAGACTCGGCTCCGACTATCGCACCTCTGAAGATAATCCCACAGTGACTGTTCTTAATTAGAGTATTTTTGTCAAGAGTTGAGAACATAGATGATTTTAGCTCAAGTCACGCTGTTACACAATTTGGCATCATTTCAAAAACAACTGATGGGAGTACAACATATTTGAAAGGCACATTCTGGGGTAACAAGCTCGAAAAAAAAGCAGGCACAAATAGCACACCCGGACACTGGCGACCCAGTCCCAAAATCATTGCGACACTCATGATTGCCTTTTGAAATACGTGTGACCCTTTTACGAAAATATACTTGGTCACTCGTTAGGAAATTTGGCAGCGTTCCAAAATGCATGCCACTTGGCAGCAATCCAAGAATAAACATTTGTACATTTCATCATAATTTCTCCATCTGCTGTCTCCTCGTTTGCTGTGTTCCACGGATCAGGGGTGATCAAGCGGTAAACAAAGAATTTGTTATATGGTACGTAGTGATTCATTCGAAGAAAAATAACGAATTTTCTCAAGTTGAGAGTGACAATTTTTTTGCAGTTATTTCTATAAATTTTGGTATACGTGAAATATTGCTTGTTTGTTTTATTTCTTATGTTGAATACATGATTTGCATGAGATGGGTAATTTCACCTACCCAGATGAATTTTTATAGCAGCATACAGAATAAATTCTTGCTTTTAATGGGTTCTTTGGTATTCATCAACGTCGTGCCTTTCCAAAAAATGTCAAAGAATGCGTCGTGGACAAATTATTACACCTCGTCATCTGCAATTCTTTCTGCAATTCTCCATTCAGTTTCGGATATGCTTCTATACCTGGCATATGGCATTCTCACCTTGGGTCAAGCTATTCGTGAGTTTGTATTTGTGAGTGCATGGGATATGTTATGAAGAAACGATAGAAAACGGATTTGTTGCTACCTCCACCATCAATTATAATAGGCACAGTAAGGTGGAATTTGGCCATGGATTTGTTTTAAATCTTCAAATACGTGTGAGACATTGACACTGCTTTTGAAAATCGTTACGATAGGTTTAATGAGGTAAAAAAATTATTTTTGAGGTTTTCGCATGAAGAAAAAGTAGCAAAAGAGCATAGCCCGTAGAGGTAAGCTAGAAGCGAATTTTGAATTAGATAACATTAGGTGCGAACTTGTCGGAGGCAGGAAGGTTTTATGGGGATGTAGCTACCAGAGTCAAGCGTGCTAATGCGATTCGGGACCCTCACTTACGCCTCCCCCTAATTGTATCCATCCGTACGACCCCCCTCCACCCCCCTCCCCACCCCCACCCCACTTACCCCAATCCCCTCCCCCCTCGTCCACTTCTTTTTGCGGTAACCTGCATAAACGAATGTAAATCTTAAAAGATGCTTACATGGACCTCAGTCAAAATTATAGTCCAGAGAAAGATAACTACTTACAAATTGGGAGATAATGCAAGTAATGCTTCCTACTCAAAAACAAATAATTCTACGCAGATTGGGTAAGTAGTAAAATTTTACAAATTGGCTATGCTTATTGTGTTTAATATTATGAATGGAAAAGACATCATCTGACGGAGCAGAATATCGACTTTGATTTAAATGGCATTTAAGCTGTACCCTACCTATGAAAAATGAAATAAAATAGCAACCAAGAAAAATTCAGCATTATGGAACGGTTCACTTTAGTTATCATAATTAATGATTTCTAAAATAGTCATTATATAAAGACTATTTATAACAACTCCTTTTCTAGCAAAGGTAGTAAACTTTTCTGCTGTTTATGAATGTTCGGCATAATCCTTTCATGGTCCAGTGGTACCGAAAATATAAGCTACTAGCTGGCTTGCCCGGCTCCGCCGGGCCTGCCAGCTAGACCCGTGTACGTATGTTCCGAATAGAAATTTTTATTTCTGAACCGATTGGGACCGAACTTTGCACACATACACTTCGGGGCAGGGAGCGTGTCATAGCCCACTTTTCGTTATCGATCGATGTCGATTTTACCGATTTTTTGCAAAATTTGAGCTAGGGGGCTAGGATTTTGCACAGGGGGGTAATCGAGCATGCTGATCACCCCCTTCGGGGTGATCAGCATGCTCGATTACCCCCCTCTGCCAAATCCCAGCCCTCTAGCTCGAATTTTGCAAAAAATCAATAAAATCGATATCGATCGATAACGAAAAGTAGCCTATGACACGCTCCCTGCCCCGAAGTATATGTGTGCCAAGTTTGGTCCCGATCGGTTCAGAAATAAAAATTTCTATTCCGCACATACGTACAGACATACAGACAGACATACATACATACAGACAGACATTCAGCTTTATATATAAGATTGCAGCGAGCAGGACTCCATAGCAGAGAAAGAATTTAGATGCGACCCAGATATGACCCCCCCCCCCCCCTTTTCCATTTTTTTGCCATATATAGAATAATTTTAAAAATTCACAGGCTTTGAAATATAACCAGATTTTGCATGTAGCAGAGCATCTCCAAAGTACAGGCAAATTGTATGAGCCCTTTAAAGACATTAAAAAAGTTTTAAAAATTATCGATGGTTATCGCTGGTAGGGATGAGCGTTTTGTCGAGAGCGTGAGACTTCAGCGATGCTTCGGAACCAGGATTCCCAGGCCATTTGGTACATTTAACATTCTTGTCACATATACATGCCTAGTGTTTGAGCTTCTGAAAGTGTCTTTGAAATCTTCGGTCATACTTGTGGCCAGCAAGTTCAATCCCCTCTCTCTCTGCGACACCTTTTTTGCAGGGAGAAAAATGCTGTTTTTTGAAGAGTAGAGAATGTTTGCGACTGAAAAGCTTATTTACTACATTCCACACTTTTTTAATTCGGACCACCCTCTCTTACGAACCCCCCCCCCCACCACCGCCAGTGCCCCCTTTACGACCCCCCGTTGCGACAGTCGCATCACACGACCTTGGTATAGCAACATATATCCTACAGTAGTATGGTGACTGACTGCAACTCTTCGTGAATTATTGGTTTTCTGGCATGAATCGTCACTTCATAAATCCACTATCATGGAGATCATGAAAAACTAGTTGGCAAACCAGGCTCCGCCTGATCCTATCATCTATATATATAAAAAACTCAAAGTGTGTCTGTCTGTTGATTAGTATGTTTTTTATATAAATCTTTCTCAGTGGACCAAATGAGCTGAAACTTTGCACACTTATGTTTTCGACCCCGGGCAGAATATAGGCTACTTTTCGCGGCGATTTACTGGACTCTTCTCTTGATTTGTTGATTTGTTTGCTTACATCTAGAAAAATGAGGCTTGACATGCTCTACCAATCATTTTTCCATGATCATGTAGTCAGGGGATGGTAAACCTCATTTTAATCTTAATCGGGAAGATGCGGGCAATTCGTTTCAAAGCTGTCTTTGTGCAGAAGAAGCTCAAAAGCGTAAGTATAAGTTACTTCTTCTTAGCTAAACTGGAGTCCCGAGTGAAACCGGGACCCCCGGCTAGTAACTTATAATAACGGGCTAAGGGTTGTTTACGTTTGCCTATGTGTGCGTGTGTGAATCCTGTCTGTCACGAAATTCGTAGAGCGTGTTCCAGCCAACGTCCTGAGCCCAAATTTTGCATGGCGCACGCTACCAGCATGAAAGCTCACTGTACAAAAGCATGAGCGGATCCGTTGAGTGGATCGATTGAAAATTGCGCGTCAAACGGATCCACTTGGCTTCTGGCCAGCAAATTTGGGTCCGTAGTACTACTTTTTGCAGAATATTTGACAGCTAATGTGCAAGCCATGGACGTTAGCCTAAAAGTAATGAAAAGTCTACTACTTCACGAAAACCGCCAAACCGCCAAAACCGCCAACCGCCATTCGCTGTGTAAACGGTCAATTTTTAAGACTTTACCTGATTATTTGAGAAGATTTTTGCACAGAGGTGTAGCCCACTATGTTTATTGTCCCACCAAGCCCTAAAAATTCCAAAAGCCTATTCGAATTTGCATCTGTTCTTCTGGGAAAGATATTATCCACGCGAAAATACCGATCTCACATGGAAAACCTCTACGAATGAGTAGTTGTTTACGAATTTTTCGTGATAGCCTACATAGCGCGGTGCGTTTCAATGTCATTATCATGCGGGAATGAGTAAGGCATACAAAAAATAGGGCCAGTGTGGCCAATAATATTTTCGTAATCAGCATGCCCACTTACCCCTGTGCCAACTCCCAGCCTCGTAGATGTTTGCAAAAAATCTATGTAATAAATATCGTTCAATGACCAAAAGTAACCTGCGAACTCACCCCGCCCAGAAGTGTATGTGTGCCAAGTTTGGTCCGGAACGGTTCAGAAATGCAATTCGGAACGTACGTACACACATACACATACAGCTAGATTTGGTTTCTCCTCTCATTTTCGCTAAAACTCCAATTAACATGAAAAATTCCATTACCAGAGCACATGAACACTGTACAAACACTAGCGTAGAAATAGCGAAAAGAAGTTGTGAAGTTTTGATGTCAAGCAAAACTCGCCTCCTAAGGCCATTTTTGCCGCCGTTGCACAGGCCTCAGGATGCCCAACATATTCTCACTGTTCCAGAGCTTTTCAAAGAGGAATATGACACGGCCAAGATCGCTGGTATGCCAGAGTCATGGATCCAAGGACAAATAGCCGAAAAAGCAGCAGAGTACAACGTTAATGAGGTTTGTTACCATTGCCGATAATGCAGTGTCAGTAATGACAAATTTAGGTAGAAGACTTGCTCTTGTCATATCCTCGATATAAAGAATCATTGGAAAAGTTAGTCACTATTTATCTACAACGCTTCAACAATCTGGCTAAAGAAGAGCTGAGGTTTTTTCTTAAGGTACAGTTAAGAGCTAAATGTGTGTAGCGAACAGAATGACGTATTAACATACGCCCCATCCCATACAGAATCTGTTTCAGATTCTATGATTCCTTCTATCTTTTTAGGCAAACATAAAAGACTTTTTGAGCAAAAACTGCAAAAAATCGATAAATAGATAGAGGCAATCGTGGGTGTTAAACAAGGACTTATTAACACACGACCTATCCCAAACACTATGTCTGCCAAGTTTGGTTCAAATTCCATTTTTCTTCTATCCTTTTTGAGCGAAAATACAGAAAGTGGCTGAGCCAAACATTATATGAGCCTTGATTGTTAAACCTCCAAATTACAGCATTGTTTTTCGCATTTAGGAAAAATCTGCAGCCCGCCTCCATACGAATCTGGGAGCCAATCATACGAATTTAAAGGAAAATTCAGAGATCAAAATTCCGGAGGTCAAAACTTTTTACTCAGCCTTGGTTTCCACGATTCTAGGACTCTGTTGAGGATGGAGTCTTTACTGCATATCATTCAAAAATTAGGAAATTCTATCAAAGACTGTGTTGGTGAACGCATTAATAATTTTTTACTCGGAAGGACACTACTACTGCCTTGAAAAAGCTCTTACCTTCAGTCAAGCCATGTGAATATATTAGACATTACGTTACAGTGTATAAAACTTCAAAGGCAGTGTCCATGATAAGATGTATCTCTGAACCCTTAGTTTTACCTTAGGCCTCGGAGATTGAATCGCGACGATCAAATCGCGTGAAGTCTGTCCGGGGCCTTAGCCAAAGCCTTCAGTTTTTACTTCAAAAAGCCCTACAATTACCCTCCCAAAAAGGCTTCGCAAATATTGAAAGCAGTTTTGGAATCAGCGTTCCATGCTCTATAAGATAGTACGCACTTTATATGAAAATACCACTTCGCCAGTATCCTTTCCTTGTTAGACGGGTTGAGGAATACGAGATAGTAATGTATGTTCCGTTGCTCAATGATATGCAAATGTTCTGGAAGATAACGACATCTCAAATTTTCGCGAACCAAATCAGCATTGTAAAATTTTGAGTTCAATTTTTAAAACTTTGCTCTAGCTCGCAATGATTTGCAGTTTGACACCTAATAAAACAAACTTTTGTCTTACTGGAAGCTAAAACACATTGGTGACGCGAATCAGAAAAGTGTCTAGTACGACTTTTGCTTTAACCTAACAATAATCAGTGCGTTGAAATTCTGACAAAACTACCAGGAAATGGATTCGCGGAAGCTGCGGTCCGGAAATTTTTTCTCGATAGGGGAGGAAACAACAAAGCCTTGCGAAAACTTGAGGTCCTCCAGATTGTTCGCGCCGGAATTTTACCTTTTGAGGGCTGATTCGAATTTTCTCATCGTTTGAAAATGGAAACACGTCCCTTGCACATTTTTATGACTGGTGTAGGCTGATTTTAAGATTTCCGCTATCACTCCATTTTTTCCGCCACTAAGGACCGCATGCACTATCATCCCCGCGGGTAGGGGATCGCAGCTTAGAAGAAAGCCTCATATCCTGAAGCTCCAGATATCTGGATTTCAGTTGTGTACGTAACCGTAAGTATTCCTACTACCCCGCACTATGAACATGTTGAAGAGGAGCGAAAAGGTGTGGGCATTCTCCAGCTTTTGTATCCCTAATGATCCCCGGCGCTTTTCTTTAAAGTTATTTTTCTTCTCCGAAGTTAACGAAAAGGCTCCAAAGTTGTGCAGATTATCTAACCCGACAGTGCTAAGCGTGATAAGAACGAATGATGTTTTGAAGTCATGAAATTTTCGGTGATCCACAGGTCGAAATTTGAGGTTTACCGAAAAATTCGACTTTTCGAAAACTCATTTGTTCTCATCAGCAACATGCTTGGCACTGTTGTGTTAGATGTTCAGTACAGTGGAAAGTTTTCGTTAACTTCGGAGAAAGAAAAATACTTTAAAGAAAAGCGCCGAGGATCATCAGGGTTCATACAAAAGCTGGAAAATGCGGTTCGTGCAGCTTCCCGCTCCTATTCAACATGTTCATAGTGAAGGGTAGTAGGATACTTACGGATAGGTACACAACGTGAAATCCAGATATCTGGAGTTTCGAAATATAAAGCTTTCTTTTAAGCTGCGATCCCCTCCCCAGCGGGGAGGTTAGTGCATGCGGCCCTAAGTCGTAGAATTTTTTAATTTAGCTTTATTGGTAAGACTGCAGTGCGCAATGTGGCTGTTTGGAGCCAGGTAAAATCACGGGCAGTAATCGTTCACATTACAAAAGAAAAATGTCCTCTTGTTTACCTTTGGGACACTTTTTGCTTACGGATAACATAAGATTATCTTCCAGATAAGGATCGTAATTCTAGATTTTTCCACATTTTCTTAACACGTACACGGTCAAAATACTCCCACCAAGAAATTTCAATGCAACACGCAAATATGTCTGCAGGGATTATAAGGTAAGAGCCCATAATTACTCAACTAAACCGATAAAGGAAATTCCCCGCCTCCGCAGGTTATTGGTCCACATGATATATTATAGCCGGTGCAAAAGGACCAGTACTCCGCGAAGACGGCTCCTGTCTGCGTTATTCGTTCTTCTATCTAGCATAATTAATCGTGTGATTTAGCAATTAGCGGCACCTGCTCGGAACAATTTCGACCTCAACTTCCCTCATAGAGCAAAGATGCTTCGTGAACACTGTGGAATGAATGTGACCGTATTTTGATCGTTATGACAAACATTGCGGAGTGAGATTTCATCATAAAATTACAATTTTGTACTCAACAACATTTTATTTTGAATCTGTTGATAGTATGAGAGATTACGCTTTGACGGCATCTGCTTTCCTTTCTTCTGGCTCCACTGTAACTCCTTCGCTAAAACAAGAACACAAAAGTATAATTTGCTGGCACTAGTCACAGTTCCGTTGATAAGAGAAACACAAAGTAATTAGGGCTTACACATTTTCCATGAACAAATTTTTGCTTATGAACACTGGAATCCAATCCATTTTCTCATCCACCTGCAAAGTGTTTTATTGCACGAAATGAGCAAAGCAAAAAATGAGAGAACGCTCTTTTCTTGAGCACCTTCCAGTGGTTTACTTCGACAATACGGCCAAGTATGTCCAACAAATAATCAAAGTCGACCATATCTTCGAATACTAGAGTGTTGATATAGTCAAAAATTAAGCTCATTTCTCTCGGAATGGACAGGTAAACATCATTGACTAAAACAGTATAATTTGAGGTTCACAACTAATAAGCCGGACATATTCCATACTTTCGGGTTTCAGCTCTCCTTCAGTGAATAGATCATCTCGGCTATGCATTAGATCGTCCTGAAATGAAGGCAAAGTCTAGGTGAATTTAGGCATCTGGGTTTAGTGGATACTGCTGAGGCCTTCGCTAAGCCAGTCTCAAGCTCATAGAATCCATCCTCAAAGGCGTCCACTCAAAATTTTGCTTCCATGTTTTTGCCATTCCGGGGCCTTTCCGTGGCCGTGATTACAGTTATGAAGTTCAAGTAGTCCAAACCCCCAAAAGACCTGATTCCTAAGGACCCTTTCTTGAGGGCGTTGGCGGCTTTCAGTAAATGGGTGGGCGGAGTCTGATAGGATCTGGCCTGGACACTGCCTTCAAGTAAAAAGTCAAATTTTGAGGTCTTGCCCAGTACCTTATCCGTAATATCCGTATCGGTCCGCTCAGTTACGGTACTGGGGAAATGTCTTTGAACTCTCCACTACAAAATCATATGAGGTGCAGTTTGGGCAATGGCTTATGGAAGACCTTCCAAACAGCTTCCATATAAGCTGGCCACTCAGATTCTTGAGGCTCCACGTCCCGTCGATAAAAAATTGTGAATGCTCGCCTTCAATCGAAGAGTTTCATCATTGTCTTTGACATCACGCCAAGGAATGCATTTCTCATCAAATGTGTCCAACATCATATAGCACCTCAAATCGCAATTTCTGATGGTCAAAGAGACTCGCAGATCATACCAAGACTCCACATCATCTTTTCGCCCTTGCTCCTTCATCTGATGGCAAGCTCTGGAAGCGTAGCGCCGAGTTCCCATAAATGCGACTTTTTCACGGGGCTCTCTGCAAACTGACATGATTGTTTTTATCTCTGTTTTGTAGGAATACGTACTGAGTAAAATAGCACTTGCTCTATTGACTACACAAGTAAAACTCGATGTTTGAATCACTAACGCTTTGGTTTTTTTTGCATTTGAAAGACCTAGAGGCGACAAAGCAGAGTATGCTAAATTGTCGGAACAGAAAATCTGACAAACATGCAGATCGCTAGCACATGCACTTGCTTAGGAGGTTGATAAGACGTCGTACTTTTGTGGGAGACTAGTGAAACTTGTGCGCATATTTGTTTGAATTCAAATCGTCACTCATGTTTTCAATACCGTATTATTTTTATTCACAAAAACACAAGTGGGGAAATGTTGGGAGTTGTATATGTGATCTCTTTTTTCCCACAGGCATTGCTCAAAGATCTCGTAACCGTGGAAATTTCTTGACTTCGCATGGAGAGATGTTTGTCTCCCTGATCACAAACGAATTACGGCGTATGGTAAGTGGGTAAAAAATCCTTGCTCGAAACTTCTTATGAGATCCTTCGGGGTACTGGTAATAGTACTGATCGGTTGTCAAAGTCGTTTTGTAAAGTGGGGAGGAGCCATACCATATACCCAATGGAGATTCGTAAAGAGGCTCTTTTAGACACTATCATTATCAAAATCGTAACCAGCATACTAAAGAAATCCCTAGAAGCACATGCTGATGCTCTACCGTACATCCACCGTAATCCTGACAGGTGGCGCTCCGCTCCGCTCTGCCATCTTCTCTAGTCGAATAACGAAATCCAGGTTTCTTCATTTTTGGGTTGATCAGTGTGGGTTAGAACTAGAATGTCGACACCACTGTAACGTATCTTACGTACGGAATAATTCCATCATCCCCGGCGATGCGTTTCGCAATTCCGAAGTCCAGCATGAAAATTGTCTCATGAGACGGTCTATCGATCCCAATCGCAAAGTTGGCAAGTTTCAAGTCCCTGCAGGAAACAAATGAACTTTTAGCATTTCGTACAGCAGCTTACCTGTGCAAAAAGCCAATATCGTGGAGATCACGCACAGCATTCAACGTTTGCACACAGATTTTGATGGCAGTCTGCTTGCTGAGATGTGTGTTGAAAAAAAGAATTCTGACAGTGGAAACAATAAACCTACGAGAACTGAGCACCACCGAGAACTTCTCTTCGGATTTTGTCTAAACTCCAGCCAACGATTGGCATCACAATGAATTTGAATTTTGGTGTAACGCCGCGGTCGATAAGACGGAGAAAATGCTTGCGATAAGTGGCATTGCTGCAAGCACTCAAAACGGTAGCCTCCACCTGAATAACAGAATCAGTGCGAAAATACTGTCCTTTCAGTTGTGATGTCTCTGTGAAACCGACACCGCTTCGCGACTGCCTCGCGCAATCTTCGCGAGCGTTTGCAAACGTCAAGTCCGCCTGGAAGGTGTTAGAGTGCGAGGTTCTCCCTCTGCGGATACCTATACGCAAAAGAGAAACTGCAATTGAGGTAGACTGTAAGCAGCTGTGTTAATCTGTAAGCCGGATTATAGCATCGTAAAAACCATCTTTCTTTCACTTCCTACTACCCATTTTTTATTGCTTGCAACTTTACATCGAGGTACCGTAACCCCAAAATGCAGCTCCTGGACGACGTATTGATTTTCACGATATTCAAGGGCAGCGTCCAGGCAAATCCGGACATACGGGATTCTGAGGTGGAAAGTAATTTTGGGGCCCTAACTAAGACACTGCCCAAGCGGCAGCTCAAATGGTGAACTCACAGTTGAGATATTCGCCTCCAAACTGAACTCCGGAATCCATGGATTCAGATGGATTCATGGCGCGGCACGCGTGGGTCCTCGCGCAAAACTGATGTGTCGCGTCATGAATCCATGTGAATACGATCCCGGAGTTCAGTCTGGAGGCGAATATCTCCACTGTGAGCTCACCATTTGAGCTGAACTCTCAGACACATTCACCGGCCGGCGACCGGGCGACGGTCGGCCCAGCCCTAAAGACGGTGTTGCCTCAGCCGGTCTTCGGCCGATAGCCGGCCGGAAAATGTGTCTGAGCTTGGGCAGTGTTTTAGTCAGGGCTCCAAGATTACCCTCCAAATGAGATCCCCATAAGCCCAGATTTGCCTGGACGCTGCCTTCAAAGTGTGAAATTTTTCGGGTGCTTTGCGGAATGTCGTTTGTACATAGTGGATACTTGTCAATTTGTATGGCGTATGACTATGATCTACATTCAACTTTTTCCAGAAGCTCCACTCATTTCAAACAACTTCCCCTTTGTTTTTGGTCATAGTTATGGTCGTGACAACATTAAATAACATTTATGGGTCAATTTTAGTAGCTTTTGGCTCGACTTTGCCCTTGATTTCCTCGATTTTCTTTCAGATTTCTTCTAGCTATTTTTGTTAGCATTAGGAACTTCTCCCCCATTACTGCAATAAAATCTAAGACTCCAGGTGTCGAACCTTCAGCCGATTCAATCTCGAATCTATGTCGACATCTTCGGTCTTCAAGGCGTAAAAGTTCCCGGTCTCTGATTGGCGAACCTTGTAGACGTCACCAAACCCTCCTGATCCAAGAACGCTCACAATCTTGTATCTGTGTAAATTCGTATGCGAAAACCCTTAGAAACTCAAAGTAAAGGATTTACTTGTGCGTCGAAGAGCAGATGTTTTCACCAGCAGGAATAAGCGGTCTCTTTTTCTTCTTTTTCTGTAAGAGAAATTTTGCGTGGTAAGAGACAAAACCTTAACTGAGCACATGGAGAGACCAACATCTGCGCCCATGACCTTCCAATATGACCGCTTGCTCGAAAAATAACCTATTCTTTCTTTAGCACTGGTTTTTGTAGTAAGGAATGAAACTTATCCGTGCTGTGATGTATGCGATACGATCAGACTTGTTCAATCTGACCATCACAGCCAGGAAATGATCATTGGATATAACACCCGAAAATGTGCGATCCATGATTTTTTACGTTCAAAGGCAGTGTCCTTGCAAAATTTCGACCTCCGGTTTTCACCTTTTCGGAGCCTTCTCGCCATGATAAACCCATATCTGCGCTTTGCAGCACTTGAAAGTGGTGGAAATGGGGGTTCTTTTTCAAGGTTTTCCATGTCCGCTTTCGCTGGGAGATATGTGTAAGCGGGCGGGGTCTGGAAGACTTTTAGAGTGGATTTCAGGCTTTCCAAACGCGCTTTTTCGTACCAGACTTCACTGATAGAATGGTTGGGGGGGTCTGCGGTTGCAATGCTGTTAAATCCCAGTACCCATAATTTTGTCGGACGCTTGATTATAAACCTAGTAAACTGCACGCAAGGTAAGCGTAGCGATCAAAACTCACATTTATTATTTATATTTATTTATTTATATAAAATACATCGTAGGAACGATGTGCTATTACACAATTATAGTCATAAACCAAAATACTGCATACAATAAAACGACTGGGAGAGAAAAGGCAAAGTTCAACTATTATGAATATTATTAACTATTATACTATTAGTAATAGTTCTACTATTACTTCAATTATTGGGGTCCTCCTGCTTGGATGAGTAAAAAACCTCTTGGATCCCGTTAACAGTGTGTGTATATCTTAAAGTCTCGTACTAAGGGTAGAAGTTTGCCAATATCTTGCGAAAATTCGTTTTTGACTACATTCGAATACAAAGTTTTATCTCGTTCCGGAAACAGAGCAAATTACTTCCTGATTTTTTCTTAACTACGTTCTTTACAAAACCAGTTCCGTCAAAATCAATAAGTTGAAAGGCAGGGGGTTGGAGAGGCGAATCGAGGGTCATCCGCTCCTTAGGCTGTGTTCATACTGATCTGGAAGTTCGAAAACAGTTTCAGCAGAGCGCTCGAGCTGTTCCCGGACTCGGGACTCATCGTCAGTATGAACGCAGCCTAAGCACCTGCACATGAAGAAATAACGCGCACCATAGCTAATTCGCCTGTGATTCGACCTTTGAATGTGAGTTGTGTATTCTGCTGTCGGGTGAGAAATTCATTTGCGTAATAGACGAATGTCACTGTTATTAATTGTCTCTAGTTTCGTATTTCGAAGGGAGTCTTACTGTCACACTTTTTCGTTCATTCCTGCTTTTTGGCCCACTTTGTTTGACCTCGTCGTGATTTGTCATTTTTTTGTCTGATATGATTCTAATGAACCTAGAAATCAGGGTGCAATATGTCGCAATATTGCTTTGTGGAAATGAAGTCGTGGTATTAGAAGTGCATTTTATTACAGAAACTTCTCAAACGCGGCATTCATCTGTTTCGTTCTCACTCACACAGATAATAATCACAATGAATCGAAAAGGACCAATGCAAAAGAATGACGAGACGGATAAGCCGCTCCGTATCGCTATTGTGGAAAAAGACCGCTGCAAGCCTAAAAATTGCGGTTTGCCTTGCAAAAGGTCATGTCCTGTGAACAAAATGGGTAAGTGGTTTAGATACTTTCTTCTTCATATGCGTTTTCATTTCATATTTGAATTAAAGACCGTAGTCATTCAACTGCTACTTCTCAGCAGATGCGACTGAGTCTGTTGTTCCCGGGCTTGTGGGTGTAGTCCGGAAGTGTCGTTGAATATGCAGAGTCATGAATTGACAGATTACGTGACGTCAGCGCAAAATAGGCTGTCCAAGAGTCCAGTTTGAATATACCCAGAAAGTCCAGTAATGATAAAAACCCAGTCGATCTGTCGAAACATGGTCTATGAATATGATGTTGCTTGAGTTTTAGTTTTTGAATGAACTGTGCTAGAATTTCTTGAAATCAGTATACCATCCATTTCCAGGTAAACAGTGCATTGTCGTGGAGACAACGTCACCTTTAGCAGAGATATCCGAGGTTCTATGTATTGGTTGCGGTATCTGCGTCAAGAAATGTCCTTATGGAGCTATCAAAATCATCAACTTGCCGGCTAATCTTGCCAATGAATGCACGCATCGCTACTCTATGAACTCGTTCAAGCTTCATCGCTTGCCAACCCCAAGAACTGGAGAAGTGAGTTTTTCATTTTTTAATTATGGTCGGTATCATTTCTGTTCAGGTGCTTGGTCTTGTTGGAACCAACGGAATAGGAAAGTCAACGGCTCTCAAGGTGCTCGCAGGCAAACTGAAACCAAATCTGGGAAGATATGACGTAAGCGTTATCAAAACGCTCTGTCGCGTCCACGATGTATACAACAGCTCGTTCTAGGCACCGCCGGACTGGCCGAGTATACTCCAGTATTTTCGGGGTTCAGAACTTCAAAATTACTTCACTAAGATCTTGGAGGACAATCTCAAGGCCGTTGTCAAACCTCAATACGTTGATCAAATACCGAGGTATCTATTAGTCACGTTTGCGGTGTATTTTCCTCTATAAGCTGTGACTCAGAGCGGCGAAGGGAAGCGTAGAATCACTATTGACTCGAAAATCTGATAGAGGCAATCGGGAACAGGTGCAGAGGGATATGGGTAGGTCAATTATCAATGGTCGTGGAAAACGACAATTTCCGTACTTGTTTTCATCGTAGCCTTGTTCATATCTAGTACTGCTTAATATAATTTCACCTATACTTGTTTCCTCTTATCCCACTATTTTTTTCACTCTAACGATCTTTTGAATTTTTTGTTGTGAGAAATCACGGGGTACTTCCAAGTCTGCTATCAACAACTCGTTCTTGAATTTAGAGCTTGATGGATTATTACAAAGGCAAATCGAACAACTATCTGGTGGGGAGTTGCAGCGGTTCGCCATTGCAATGTGTTGCATTCAGAAGGCCGACGTTTATATGTTTGATGAACCCTCATCGTATCTGGATGTAAAACAGCGTTTAAGGGCAGCCGCTCTTATCAGAGATATGATCTCGGCTACCACGTAAGTCCTAGGATTGAAGGCAGCCTCGGCAGAATTTCGTCTTCCAGTTTTTCACCTTTTCGGAGACTTTCGCCAAGAGGAATGCATATCTGGGCTTTTCAGTCATGAAAATGGCGAAAATGAGCTTTTTCCGAAGCTTTCGCATTCAATGGGAACATTTGTAAGCGGGAGGGCCTAGAACGAGGGAGGTGGGGCGCGAAAGATTTCCGGCGTATCTTCACTGAATGCGGATCTGGAAAGCTTCGGAAAAAGTCATTTTTGCCATTTTCATGCGCTGAAAAGACCAGATATGGATTTCTCATGGCGAGAAGGCTTGAAAAAGTGGAAAACTGAAGATCGAAATTCTGAGGCACTGCCTTTGAGATGGTTTAAGGGGTTGATGTATTGATGAGGTCTGTTTAGATACGTGATCGTTGTGGAACACGATCTTGCCGTTTTGGACTATCTCTCTGACTTTATTTGCTGCCTATACGGCGTGCCTGGAGTGTACGGCGTAGTAACTTTGCCATCAGGAGTACGGGAAGGCATCAATATGTTCTTGGATGGATTTATTCGAACTGAAAACATGCGATTCCGGTCAGTATGCTTGATATATCATATACACCACTGTATTTTCTTTTTCAGCGACGATAAGCTGAGCTTCAAGGTTTCTGAGCAAATTGACGAAGTTATCAAGCGGACAGGAAATTTCAAGGTATCACGCCTCAGTATGGTTATAGTCTCAGTATTCTCTGCTTTTTTTCCTGTTTATACAGACGCAAATATCTTTTGCTTCTAGTATCCAGCTATGTCAAAGAACCTTGGCTCTTTCAAGTTAGATGTGGAAGCTGGTGATTTCTCCGATTCTGAGATTATTGTCATGCTTGGAGAGAACGGAACAGGAAAAACCACCATGATTAGGTGCACAAAGTTCTTGTCTTTTCATCATTCTATGGCGCAGAAGATTGAAGTTGGTGCTATTCTCTAGGATGTTGGCGGGATCACTCAAACCAGATGAAGAAGTAGAAATGCCCAATATGAGCATCTCTTATAAGCCGCAGAAGATTAGTCCAAAATACGAAAATATTGTAAGTTCAATCGACTTAGTTCTTTTCGATCTCACATTGATTATTCTTTCACTTTCCGTAATGCTCACCTCTTTATTTGCGATGGTATTACATTTGTCTATACGTCAACCTTAATGGGACCCGTCATACTCTGCCGAAGAAAACTCAAAGCGCCTTAAAAAGCCCAGAAGCGACGGAAAGAGCCGGAGCCCCCTTCGTGCGCAAGTATCGGCGTTAGGCTAATTTCGCAACCGAGTCTTTTTGCTTCATTTTCTGTCGTCTGCACCTCAAAATTACGTCAAAATTCTAGCAGCTAAAAAACAGCGTTTCGCCTCCTTCTAGCCCCTTTGGGCTTTTTGGTCTTTTTGGGCACTTCTGCGCTTTTTTGGCGAAGTTTGACGGGTCACTATCCTTCTTGAATTGGACATCTTTGATCATGATACTGGTTTTATCTCTCTTTATCGCTTCAACGTTTTGGCATAGTCGGTATCATACCGGTATCATATTGGGTAGTTCTGTGTAAAACTCACCACAAAGACTAAATCAGTTATTCCGATGTAATGTTGTGTATTCCGTATTCAACTTATGTAGTTCAGTTTCCATTTGTTGAACTATACACTGCGAATTCTTCTAGGTCCGGCATATGCTTCACGACAAGATTCCGAATATGTACATGCATCCGCAGTTCAAATCTGATGTAATGAATCCTTTGATGATGGATCAGCTCATGGACAGAGAGGTGGCAGTGATCTACTTCATTTGCCCATGACATGAGGATGTTTTCAGGTTCAAACACTCTCTGGAGGAGAACTGCAGCGGGTAGCACTGGTACTTTGCTTGGGAAAAACTGCTAGCGTGTATCTTATCGATGAACCGTCTGCCTATCTCGATTCAGAACAACGTCTTCATGCAGCTAAAGTCATAAAAAGGTAGGATAGGTTCTTGGTTTCACAGCTACGACCCTATAGCAATCATATTATAGCCTCTTCGAATTATATATTTGTATCTCTATCATGCTGTTTACAAGAATAGAATGCATTCTTGATATATTCTGTAAATTTGGAGTTCAGATTCATCATGCACGCTAAGAAGACCGCTTTTGTTGTTGAGCACGATTTCATCATGGCAACTTATCTCGCCGACCGCGTCATTGTCTTCGACGGAGAGCCATCTGTGCATGCTACGGCCCGGAAGTATGTGCACTATTCCTTAGCTGTATATTGCGCAAGAGTGACCTCCAGATTTTTTCCCACATTCATTTGCAAATTTCAGGCCCCAGAATTTACAAGAAGGTATGAACAGATTTTTGAAAATGCTCGAGATCACATTCCGCCGTGATAATGAGTCGTATCGACCAAGAATAAACAAGAAAGATTCAATAAAAGATATGGAACAGAAGAAAAGTGGCCAGTTCTTTTTCATGGATGAGGCTTAGGTATTTTGTTGACTAGTACGTATTGGTTAACCATCTACAATCCTTTTTAAGTCCCTTATGCTTGTCAGACTTTACTTAGATCATTGTTTTCATTGACTTATATAAGTGCTTGTTGATTTCTGTTTTTTTTTACTCTACTTTCTTGTTAGCCAAGGGTTATCTGTAAAGACGTTGGACTTTCCTTTCTTTGCTCTGCTAATCTACAAGCCTAGGATTGGTAGGTGTGTTTCTTACTGAGTCACATTAGGAGATTTAACTTCATCAAGTGATAGAAAGTTTTCAAAATTTCGGTAGCAGAAAACATCACCGTAAGAGGCGAGGTTGGTGACATCTACGCAGAAATCTTTAATATGGTTAATCTGATAGGTGAAGCGCTTTTTGGAACCTTAGCCTGTTTTCGGCCAATCACAACACAACCAACTTTAATGTCCGTAATTTGGGACCACACAACCAGAAACTAGAGGAATTGGTGTTGGAAATCTATGGATTTGCTTTCGTGATAGGTTCTTTTCATAATTATTTGTGCTTGATAGACTATGGGAAATAACCCTGTGTTATAGAGCCCGCTGTCATTGTATTGTTTTTTTTATTCCTATTTATATCAGATTCGCCTTTCGATTGGTAAACCGTTTGTTGAACTCAATTCTTGTTGATTGTTTCAAAGTATTTTGGGTGTTGATTATGAAGGTTGTTGAATGAACTATCTTTTCCCATTATGGAGCATTCTTTTTGTTTTGCTTTACAATGTGTTCTGCTGTTGCTAATCTGTTAATGCAGTGTTGCATATTTGTTGCAAAAATTGCTTTCGAACTAACCTCAGTGCTTGGTGTAATTTTCGTAGTTTAGTTCAATTTTTTTCCGCGTAAACTAGATTAGTTATGCATAGTGCTTGCGCTTGGTGCTAGTTTTTATCCCACGTTTCGACGTCATCATGCTTGGCTATGCGGCTGCGATGGTGGCTGCCAAACTTCTGACTGTGAACACACTCTTAATGGGAGTCCGCAGCCGTAGCAACTGATGGAAGAGTGGGGGAAATGCCGGAAGTGCGAACTCGGTGTAGGGCCTGAGAGCGCTTCTGCAAGGGCTCGAGCCGTCAATGCGTTCGAGTCAACTTACTGAACTATTCACACTATTATACGCCGCATGATTGCTGCTACACCTGCGCTGCATCTCTACCTGCAACGCATGACCATGTTGCAGCATGCAGCATCGTGTTGGGACGCGTCGGCTTCAGTCTCAAGTCAGAATGTTGGAGCTTTGCGATTGTCTGAGATCATGTTGAGGAGGCTTTTCGGATGAGCATAAGATTCAACTCGCTTGGTTTCGGGAAGGCGGGGCTTTGTGACCTAATTAGGGCCGCTCGCGCCCGCGACGCACCTGTGTCTCTCTCGCGCGAATGCTCTCTGGTCATTACCTAGCCTTAATTGAGTCACGAAGCCCCGCCTTCCCGAAGCCAAGCCAGTTGAATCAAATGGTACAGCTAGTAGAATGCCGGTCGAGCTACAAGCCTGTAAATGGTTACAGTTCATTGTGAGGTGCTGATGAGGTTATGTGCACCCCATGAGCGCAAAGAAAACTAGCACACGTTGATGCACGAAGAAAGGTGAAGAGCATCCAGTTTATCCAGAAGGCCCTGTTCGAATGTTTTGCATCGACTTTCATGTGAAGAACCTTGGTCTGGAAGAGGGAGTTAGATTATTTTCTGAAAAAATGCAAAGCAAATTTCTAGCTTTTTTCACAATACACAACCCAAAAATGAAAATCTTGGTTTTCGCTGAATTTTTATAGATAGGGGGTTTTGGCGTGCTGATCACGAAAATGATGGTTTTTTTCGCATGGTAGGGCCTTTTTTGAGGGGTTACGGTAGGCATACGATTTGGGGTCAAAAAGTAGGATCTAGCTGAAACTCTGCACAGAGAGATTATCCGACTGATAACGATTACCACACTTTTCCGCACGAAAACGTCTCGCTGTATGGTTACGGTACGTCGGTAGGGGGTCGAAATCGTAGATTTGGCTGAAATCTACAGGGGTTATGCACGCTGAACATGTATATTATATTGAATTGGCAAGTTATCGCCATTTTCTTGGGTTACTATAAGAGTATATATTTGGGTCAAAGTCGCAAACTTGCCCTGGAGGTGTTTCCAAGTATGCTGATTGCGAATATCATGCTTGGTCATTGCAATAACGCCTTACTGTGGAGTTACGGTAACCTGAAGCGTATTAATAGGAACCATTTCTGCTTGTTAAGCCAGTTCAGATCCAAAAACCTATGAAATGTTATCATGTAAATGAGCGCGATATTCATGAGCAGCACACCAGATAACCTTCCTGCACGAAGTTTCAAGCAGATCTACGATTTGGGCCCTTTGCCGTACACCTACCGTAACGCTACAAAAAGGTGCCAATATGCAAAAAGACTACGACATTCATGATCAGCATGTGGCATAACCTCTATAGCGCAGATTCCAGCCAAACCTACGATTTTGACTTCCTGCCGTACACCTACCGTAACATACAAAAAGACTTCTTGAGGAAAAAGTGTGAGAATGGTGGTCACCATATCGATAATCCCTCTGTGCAGAGTTTCGGCGAGATCTGAGAATTTGAGCCCATACCGTATGACTACCGTAACCCCTTGAGTAAGGCCCTACCATGCGGAATGATTGTCATTTTTGTGAGTAGCATGTCAAATAACCCTTATGTATGAAGTTTTAGCAAAATCCGAGGTTTTTCGTTTTAAGTTGTGTATTCTAGAATAACGCCGTTTTTTTTAAATATTTCAGAATCTAAGCTTTCCAAAGAACGTAATTAGCGATGAAGTTTATCCTCTCATGCAACTCTATCATTTTTTCATCCTTGTTTTCCATCTGAAAATGAGCGATGAAGAAAGGAGGGCGGCTTGTCCGCAATTTTTTTGGGGTCACTGTAGTTGGTTCATCGGCGCAGGCAATACACAGGTAGAGACCAATGCAGCGGGGCGGTTCATCACGTTTAGGGTGTGCTATCGGTTTCCATCAAGTAGAAGTGGTTCTCTTCTTCTAGTCATCATACTCCCTTCTTGCTTTCTGCATATAATGCGGAAATATTACTGGCCTCACTTTGATTGTCGTTGCTGTCTGGAAGAACAAATGATGTGATAATTTTCTTTAGGTGTTGGAAGTTGTGCGCTTACAGCTGTAAGACTACCAAACTGTATTTCCACGTCATCACTCTCCTCGCTGGTAAGTTTCTACTGTTTGCTTACATGTTCATGAAATTCGCAATGGTTTGTTTTGCTTGGTCTATTGTTTCTCGGGTTTACTAGGTCATGGACACTGCTAGGCTGTGCTGGTATGTTTTCATTTAGTTCAGAGCAGATTTTTTTCATCTCAATATTTACAGTTTATTTTAGTCTGCAAAATTTTACGTGGTAGAGCATCTCTTCTTGAGTTCTTTGGAATGCATGTCCCCCAATTGTCTCCTTTCTCCAGTTTTTCCTTGCTGTTGTGTTCTGTACTTTTCAATGCGAGTGCTCGAAATGCTCTATCACTGAACGATGAAGGTGAAGTTGAGCAGTAGAATCATCTTTTTTTTAAATCTCATCCTTCAATGATTCGTGTAGCCGGTATTACTATTAGCCGGTTTCCGGTAGAATTTTTATGAGATCTACTTCAATTGCGCAAAATCGATAATGAAGCGTGCGGTAAATGATCATCTAGTAAATATGATTCTTTGGGAATCATTTGTAAATTCGTCTCTCGTGGATGGGTACTACATTTGTGAAAATGTAGAGATAGTTGTCAGTGTCTGCCGTATATCCTGCCAGTTGGATACCGTGATCGATCTCATATGCTATTTTCGACTGGTTGTTGCTGAGTTCGAGAGTGTGGAATATAATTATCGCTTCTGAAATATTCGTGTATTTGCGATTGTAGATGTTGTTAGTTGGTATCGACAACGATTTGCATGTATGCATAATCAGATTGTCTATCTCATGTTTGTCATGTTAGCGTGCAAATCAACAAAAAATTTTTGGTTTGCTCTGCACTGAAATATCAGAAGTTCATTGCAATTTCGAATGCTTGAAGACTTCGTTGAGTAGATGTGATTAGCTCGCTGCATTTGTTCAAAAGCGATTAACTTGTTGTCGACGAGTTCAGTTCAAATGTAAGTAGTTTATTTTGTAATCTTGATAGTACTAAACATCTTGCCGTTTCAGCTTGCTGGGCTGTGATGCTAAGATGCTAAAAAGATCTATCTTTTCAGCTTTTCACGTTCCAGTACTGAGTAGACAACTAGTGGAGAAGTTGTCACGAAAGCACCAAAACTGAACCTTCGATAATCTTGTTTATACCATATACTAACGCAATAGAAATAATTTGTACAAAATAGAATATCATAGATACGTCGTCTATGTTTTTTTTCGGTAATGAGTAAGCTTCATTGGCAGTGTCCCCCTCCCCACCCCCTCCCCTCGAGGCAGTGAAATTAGGCTACTTACATAAGCTATAAAAATGTGCAATTCCTGTAAATAATGAACTTTTTGACACTTTCTAAAAATTATAGCCCTGTAAAAATGGTGTGGCTGATCCACGCCCTTTTCTCTAAAAATTCCTTGTGGGTCCATAAAAATATTGCGGAGCATCCCAGAATAATTTTCGAAGTGCGTTGAGCACACCTCCATTCAAAAATTATTTTGCCCCCCCCCCCTCTCCCTCCCGCCACTGGTAGGTTTGAATACCTTATTTACGGCTACATATTTTAGCAGGATTAGCGCGCTCCGGTTTATCGCCAATTGTCGGTCTGCTCTATTCTCTTTGTCTATCGCTGGAGAATTCGCTTACAGAAAACCTTTCACTTGTGCGCTTTTTAGTGGCCGTTCAATTGTTCACTGTTGTGAATTTTTGGCGGGTGCAAGTAGATGCCTCCTAAGTTTTGCACTGAATTTTTTCAATTAATCATGAACTCCTGTATTTTCTGTGAGCTTTATGGTCCTAAATATAATGTAGAGCGTATCCTAGCTTTCTAGTGATGCTTACTGCCGAAATTATTGTTGGCTTTTGCTGTGAAGAAAATCATCTAAATCAAAACTTCCTACTTCTGGTCGCTAAATTTTAGGGATTCAGTAAACTTTGATTCTATATCCCTTTTGGTTTTATGGTTTTCTCCTGAGAAAGAAAATCTCGTGTTGCTATCGCAGGATGGGCAAGACAATCTCGTATCAGTAGCAGTAGAAGTAAGGTTGGGCAAAAGTTATGTCCGTTTTATTAGCTTATTTCCCGAACAGCTTTTATTCTATCAAACTCTGTTTTCGACATAGATTTTGCATATCATTACAAAGCTTTCATCTTTTACTTTCCAACAGTGATGGGATCCTCATCTGTGATAATCTCACCAGCTTTTTGCACTCCTGCAAATCAAAATTTCATTGCTTTCACTGTCTTTTAAAATTCAGATGCAGATGAACGAATTCTCTCGAGAAGTTACCTACTGCTTGCTTAAGTAAAATTTTCGAAAATATCTGAACTCTGAATCGACGCCCCAAACTCTATACTCGTGGCTGCGTTCTATGACTCAAAAATTTTCCATGATCAAGGCAACTGCCAAAGCTTTGCTAATTTCTGTAATCTCGAGATCAGGACATCTTGCCTACAATGTCTGCGGAAAAATTTGGCTATTCAATGTACGTAGAATTCTAAATTTTCTAAATTAGGATTTTCAGACCTAAAATGGGCTCAGAAAAGTGGTCAGTTTTTGATTTCTATCTTTTCTGTTCGCAAAAACTCGTCCGTTGAAGTCTTTTCTGTGCACACATATACTAGACTAGCTGGCTTACCCGGCTCCGCCGTATGTTCCGAATAGAAAATTCCATTTCTGAACCGATCGGGACCAAACTTGGCACACATACACTTCGGGCCCCGGCGGGTGCCACAGTCCACTTTTCGTTATCGATCGATGACGAAAAGTAGCCTATAGCCCTGGCCATACGTACAGCGATTTCATCGTCGCGATTTCATCGCCGAAGAATTTTGTGATTGTAGCGACGAAATCGCGACTATCAAATCGCTCATCGCGGGTTCTGGACATACCTACCTGTTCAGCGATAAGGTGAAAATACACACCTCAGCACTCGTTCTACGTTTTCTTTTGCCATCCAAAAGCAGTATTTAGCGTGATTTCTTTACATCTGCAGATTTTTTGTCTTTTTTCGACACCAGTACGTCCAGCATCAACATTTCATATTAGTTCGCGCATTTACATCTTCATTCAACTTTTCGTGTTAGATACAAGATGCAAAAGCAATTTTCTCAAGTTGTAATTGCGGTTTTGCTGATTTTTCGCGAAATTTAGATACCTAAATACTACGCATGTTATTCAATTACGAGTTTCGAACAATTAAAAATGTTCATTTTGACTGATGGTACGAATTAGAAAAGACGCGCATCACAACACGACAGAAGTGCAATTGCGAAGTGCAAAAGGAAATCTGCATCACATTTCAACATCACTGCAGAAAAAGCAAGTCGAAAAGGAAAAGAACTATTTCAAAAACCTTCAGGGAAGAATTCCAATTCCAGCGACATCGCCCCGTCGCAGGTTTCAAACTTGCGACGCGATATCGCAAGATTTCGGTCAAATCGCGGCGATATCGCTGGAATAGGTATGGCCTAGGAAATCACGGTCAGCGATCCGTCGCGCCGGACAGCTAGCACGACCGATATGCATAATTTGGCGGCATGAAACAGGGGGTATTGCAGTTGTCCGATTGCACAAATCGCATCGCGGTGATTTTTTTGACGGTATGGCCAGGGCTTATGACACCTGCCGGGGGAACATACGTACACACAGACATGCAGACAGACAGAAGACAGACAGACAGACATACATACATACAAACAGACATTCAGCTTTATATATAAGATTATGCGGCTACAAAAGCTGATCACCAGCTTTAGGTACAGAACCTAAAAGGAGTTTTGATTTATCAAAAATTTAAAAGAAAAACTTTTGGTTTTTTGACGCAGGGTTTCCTCCCTGCTCGTGATATCAGTATGTACGGGCGCGCGCTAGGTTACGAATGGTTCACTGCTTCTGATGATCGTGACCACACTAAAAAATGTGAAGACTGGACAGAGTTTTAGCTTCTCAAAGTTGAACCTTGCAAAACGGACATTATCTTTCCAACAACCTATAATATCTGCAATTAGTGAAGTTAGCGATATTCCAAACAAGAGATCGAAATAGGTTGCAACTTGCAACTGCGTAGATGTGTTTTCTGTTAAATTTGCAAAATCTCAATATCAGTTGAAGCAAGAAGATTTGGATTCAAAGCGTTGTAATGTTGCCAAAAATAAGTGCGCAAAACTTTGATAGAAAATTCTGCCACTTTAATGAAACCTGCTGAAGCATAGTGGTTTATCGCACTTACGGGGAAGTTGGAGCGAGGGGCAGAATGTGAGCCTAAGTATTATAAGTTCTTACATGTATAAACATAGTCTTAGAGAAAATGACTTAAATGACATCCCATATGTACAATAATATTAATATATATTATATATACAATGTATATATTATATATACAATGTAATAAGTTCCACTCACATGTTTGCCATGTTCATGTCCTTGCTCCTAAAATGTGTGTGCTGCTCAATTGAGATTCTTCACGCGGATCCAATTTTCAATCAACTCGAGACTATGCATAAAAGGTAATGTGCGTCCTTCACGCTGAACTGCTCGGTCATCGCCTTGCAGTGACTCATGAATGAAGGTTGTTCCTACGTGATAGATTATCCAAAAGGATTTCATTTTTTTATTTCTTAGTGAAGCATTCTTTTGCGGGATGTGCCAGTTCCTCAGGTGTATGTTTGACGCAATTGGGTAATGTGTTATTCCCTGCTAGGCAGTGAATGATGAGCCTCATCTCGCTTTGCGGGGGCGGGGGCACATGTTTGTCCGTCCTGAAGCATATGTGTCTAAAGTTCTCAAATGCGTATTTGCTCACTCTTCAGTGGGAGTTGGCAGAAAATTTGCTTTTGCAAAAAACGAAACTTCAGATGAAACTTGGTGAAACCCAAGTTTTATCTGAAGTTTTGTTGCTCGCTATAAATTCTATAATACAGGATGTCCCTGAGAATATGCACACTGTGTAGTCATTAATGACTCTCCTGCATCAAGGTCCTTACCAATTTTCAGGTACCTTTTTGTAGAGTTGGCTTAGGTTAGGTTTACTCTATGGAGTGCA